GCAGGTATGACTGAATAAGTTTAACAAGGGGAGAGTGACAGTGACTGTAATTGAGTTATAGAACAGTAGGTGTGGTTAGGGCACAAATACTCTGAGCAGTGAGTCCTGTGTCGATTCCCAGCTGTCCCAGTGTCAGCCCACCCACTCTCTTTACCCACAGTACCCCACAGTTCCTGTCTCTCCTCACCATCACTATCAAATAAAGGCATAAGGACAGTAGCAGTGGGATAACTCAAACTGTCCAAAAATGTGATCCAGATGACAAGCAATGTATTTTTAAATCCCTGAGCCGATAGTATGTCAGAGTGGTGATAAATCATAGATTAGACAAGAGATATATGCCAGGTGTGGATAGACAGAGCTTAAAGTACACACACACACACACACACACACACACACACACACACACACACACACACACACACACACACACACACACACACACACACACACACACACACACACACACACACACACACACATATACACACAGTCCCTCGGACTCATAAAGAATACATGATGTATCCTCCACTGACAAATCTCCCTCAGACTGCTTGGTATGAATGTGTGTGTGTTTGCATCTGAATGTGGGTTTGCACTTTGTGTTCCTGTGTGGGTGCACAGTTGTTTTTGAGCGTCAACACAGATGTGTGTGTGTGTGTGTGTGTGGGCGAAGCAAAGTGTGTGTGATGTGCTGAGATGGATCCTGACAGTTCCCTGCGACAGAGAAGAGAAGATCAAGCTGAGATGACGGAGGCTTTTGCTGCTCTTTCCTTCACTTCCCCCCCCCCTCAAGTCGTCTCAGAGAGCACGATGCATCCGAGCTTTCCGTCACAGAGTTCAATCTGCTGCAGGCGATGAAATGAGTGTGTAGAAACACTACCTTAGTGCCAGAAACTACCTACAATACCTGCAGCAACTAGAGTAGAGAATCTGCAGGTACCAAGTTGTTGAATCTGCTTGTTCAGCCCACAGTGTGCAGGTTAGAGCTGTTAGAGCAGAAGACTCATGTAGACATCAAAATGGGAGGTTCAGTAATTGTTGACATTATAATAGCAAGATATACAGTATTTAAGGATTTGCCTGTTATTTCTTTTTGTCAGAAGATTCCATATAATGACCCTAAAAATAAGAGATATACTTTCTCAGCCTTTCATAAATATTCACGAGCGTCCTTCTGAATGCTACCAGTCTCCTGAAAGCTGCTCTGTCTTCATCCTGTATCCTAGTTATTCCTGTCAGTGCAGGTGGATATTACCATTGTCTGAAATAAACAGCTGTTGGGCTCAAAGGCCCTCGGGGGCTCGCTAGTAGAAATGACAGCCAGCATGTCCTAATGAAATGTCTCAGAATGACATGCATCCAAAAATACATCCATATTGACACTGCAACTTACGGTTATTTTCACCCTCTGTCTGAAACAAGAGTCTGCTCTGATTGGTTAGCTGGCCTGTTTATATCAAACCTTTTTTGTTGTGTGAAAATCATACACATGCTTTTTTTTTGTTGACAAATGTGGTGATTACTTCTACTTAACCAATGGCCATTCTGTTGTTTTAACTGCCTAGCTTTGAAGTATGCCGGCTCGGTTGTGATTGGTCAACCACTTAGAGATGTCCCGCCCCTTAGCCTATCACGTACAATGTGTTGAGCACTAGCCAATAGTGTGTTACATAGTGATGTTGTTATGTTCTGGAAGTAAACAAAGGAGTCCAATGGAGACGTGTCAGGCATAATTCAAGGATAATAGGGCCTCTTTAAACTATAGTCAAGAAAAAAATTATATAGTGTATTTTTTTTAATTCAAATTAGCCAATAGCCGCGTTCACACCGGAGTACTTTTCACCGTACTTTTCGCGTTTAGTTCCGTTAGTACCCCTTATGTCGCGTTCACACCAAAAAGAGCACTTAATCTCGGGAACTTTTACCCCCATTTTTAGTGCCTGCTGAGAGATCGTACTTTCCTGGGGGAAAAAAGTGCCCCAGTTCTGATTGGCTGGGCAAATTGCAAACCACGCCCCGTACAACTCTGAAATGTTTTGTAGAGCCGCCATTTTATTATCCTCGCATTAGCATTATTAGCATTAGCATTCGCCCAGCGCACAAACGCAGAGAGACTAACTTATGGCAACACAAAAGAAAACATGGGAGCGGTGGAGATGAGGAGGTGTCGGCGTTCTGGTGATTTACTCGGAAGGCTTCAGTAGAAGCTGCTGGGAGTCCCAGCAGCTTCTACTGAAGCCAGTCCCCAACTCCGGGGACTTCCGGCCGGGGACTCCGGGTGGCAGTATACCCCGTGAAGTTGTTTGTGGCCTGCCAGTAAACCCAAAGCAGAAGAAGACGAAGTGACGTCTGCGGCTCATTTGCGTAATCTTCCCTCAGGGAATTTATTCCGGTGTGAACGCGATATGTACTAAATGCCCTGGGGTAATAAGTGCCGGGGCACTAAATACGGCAAAGTACTTGGTGTGAACGCGCCTAATGTAAAGCAGTGTCCCGC